CGAGAAATGGTGAACCAGCAAGTTAGTTTTCACGTTTCCGGTCTGTTTGTTAAGCACAAAGCTACAGATTGTACAGCTATCTGTGCTCTGCCCACCACGGGTATCGAAACCCGGTTTCGAGCGTTGTAAGTTTATAGACTTACCGCTGTGCCACTGGGGGAGCTCATGTTTTCAGAAACCACAGCGTCAACGGAAGGAAATCACGTTAGGAATTTTAAGAACCCATGAGTGAAACCAAAGGGGAATATGTTAAAACATATCAAACGCACTACACTGCCATATCTAGTGCCGACGAGGCCTTTCGCCAAATAAATGGGCTTATTAAAAACACACAGTTGAAGTCATTTCTCATAGAAAATTATTTAGCACAAGAAGCTTGTAAAGAATCCGAAGAGCATCACCTTGTTTTGTAGCTATGAACGCATTTCAATACTTTTTAATGTTTTTATATTAACTATGATGCTGTAATAAATCCACATATATGTTTAATTCGCTTGATGATATTTCAGTTAACCAACCAATAGCGGTGTTACAATACAATCAGACTAATTTGTTAAAGTTAGTGTTTTTTCACCTTCGTTGAGCTAACTAATCCCCCCAGTGGCACAGCAGTATGGCACAGATAGCTCTTGGTGTAGCTTTGTGCTTAACAAGAAACAACAGTTTTCTGCACATTAATAACAGTACATGGCTCACAGGTTTCATCACAGCAACTGTATTATTCCTTCCTCAAGCATTTATTTTCATCTCATCTATGATAACTCAACAACACACATTGATAACTTTAAAACAAACAGACACTAGGGTATCAAATACTATTAAAATGTCTAATAACAGCTGAGACGTTCGTTCACTACTTCATCCAGCTTCTGAATAACCGAATGAATGTCTAGCCACGTATTTCAGGCTATATAATTTCATCTAACTATATATACAAGATTACCTTCTGTCGCCAGGAAACTGTTGTGTTTCAGTTGTGTTGTTAAAACTTCACACCTGCTGTTGACAGTTGTGTTTCATTAGGCTGATATTACACAGATTTAACTGCCTTATTGTTGATGTGCCTGTTACACTTGTGGGTGGATTTGCATTAGCCAGATTGTTCAAGTATAGTAGCTAAATTTCTAACTTAGGATTTATTGCTTTAGCAAAGAAACTAATTAGCACATTTAATGCTTAGCAGTAATTACGTTTTTATAACTGGTGGTTTACTGAATTCGTGGTTATTACATTTTACTTGTAATATCAAGTTTGCATGTTTTTCCAACATATTTATTGTAATGGCTGTAATATAACGTACTCGATATAAAATGTTTGTAAATTAATCAGTTTGTGGCGAATACATGTATATTTTTAATACTTTGTTTTTACACGTGTGTTTATTCTATAATGTCAGTATAAGTTGGATTTGTCCAAATATTAACGTGTAAAAACAATTACAAACATCGTTTTGCTGAAATATATACTCTGTTTAATAGCATGCACAGTGAGATAAGTAAAAACCTAAAGCGAATATTTTACTCCAAACCTTTGTTTTTATTGGAAGAAAAGATGACTGTGAATGCAAACTGAAGACAAACTGTATATAAAAGTGACCATGAATTGATTTTTATAATTTATATTGTAATGCAGATATCGGCTTAAGATGAATAAATTTCTTAATTCTAATTACTTAATTTTTGGTTATGTTAGCTATATCTAGTTAAAACGTTGCTAGAAGACGATATAGTATCGGGTGAGCAGTCTTAGTTCAGAAAGATTACATCATTATATACATATATATAGATAGATAGATGTATACATACATTTTATCATGTAAAAATATAGTTATTTGTGGGCTCATTCAGTGTTTATTTTACATTTGCAAAGCGTCCACAGTGACATGAAACGGTTATTCCTATGTTATAGATAGATTTTGATTACTACTTAATATTATGCGAATAAGAATATGGATATAATTTATGAAATAAAAGAGTGAAGGAGACAGATTAAAATCAATAATCTATATAGATAACGGAAGCTATTTCAGTCCAGTTAAAGAGCTTTGAATATAGAGCACTCCTAGTATAGCGAAATCTCTAAACTATAATGTTTTGCGTTTCAAATCCTGTCAGGCCCGGTATGACCTGATGGTTAGGGCACTCGACACGCAATGTGAGGGTCGCGTGTTCGAATCCCGTCCTTGAACATGTCGTGAGGGCGTTATAATGTGACAATCAATCCCACTATTCGTTGGTAAAAAGTAGTCCAAGAATTGGCGGTGGGTGATGTTGTCTAAAACATTAGGGACGTCTAGCGCAGATAACTTAAAAATAAATAAAATGCTAATTAGGGTCATTATTAATCTCGGTGCTCTTTGTTTCTTCTTGGTTGAAAATCTATAGCTTCTTATTTCAGATGTCTGCCTATAAACATGTCTTCTCACTTGGCTAGGTGTTCACAGTGCTGGCTTAGGCTGAAAAACATTTTTATTTCAGATGTCTGCCTATAAACATGTCTTCTCATTTGGCTAGGTGTTCACTGTGCTGGACTTAGGCTGAAAAACATTTTTATTTCAGATGTCTGCCTATAAACATGTCTTCTCATTTGGCTAGGTGTTCACAGTGCTGGCTTAGGCTGAAAAACATTTTTATTTCAGATGTCTGCCTATAAACATGTCTTCTCATTTGGCTAGGTGTTCACAGTGCTGGCTTAGGCTGAAAAACAGACACATGATTAAAATCAGAAAACATCTCGCATAAAATGTTACGTTCTATTTAAATACAAACGATATTACAACCAGCTTTGTTTCTGGTATATGATAAATTATGTGCTATCATTTATGTTTCTGATAAGTGGTGAGTTTTGTGCTATCATTTTTGTTTCTGATAAATGGTGAGTTTTGTGTTTGTGATAAATGGTGAGTATTATTATTTCAATTGTATATGTTTTTCAAGGAAAATGTATTTTATAAGTAAGATTTTCGTACAGTTTTAGCAGATTTGTTTAAACTTATAATTCCAAGTTGAAGGTTTTTTTTATCAGTGTTGACTTACATATAATTAAAGTAAATACAAGAAAGAGATCTTAGTGCTTCACGCCATTACCTGTGTCTTTGTTATATAAAAAAACATTAGAAAACAACAATAAAAAATGCATATATATATATCAGAAAAGAAAAAAGCCATATATAGTTGTCTTCATGATCTCTCTCTTCACTTATTTATAAATTATTTATAATATCTGTTATGAAGCTACCTTATTCGGATTTAACAAACGCATATTCGTAACATACTGATAGTGATCCTGTCGACTTAACTATCTAGTCTTTAGGTATAAGTTTGTATTTAAAAGTAAAATAAAACGTCAAATATTAAGATGGAAAATGTTTTCATTTTAAGAACAGTTTGCTGTGTTGTTTAAACAAATATTTGTGATCTATTACGTTGCCACTTTTTGTCGATTAATTCTTATTTATCTTCTTTCCATTTGAATCTGATATCGGAATAATGAATGTGATTGGAGCTGTTCTTGATCTACACTTTACTTTTTCATTATATTTGCCAGTGAATTATAGCAAACCTCTACTAATGGGATTACGTTGTAGATTATTACTGGTGAATCACTCTGTCTTAGTGGCAGGCTGTAAAAGCTGAAAGAGTAGACGCTCACTTCAGATCATAGAGATGAAGAGAAAGCTCTAACATTAAGAACATTAATGAGAAAGAACGATGATCATGACAAGTAAATGGAAAGGTGGATGAGCAGGTGTTCTATGCGTTTGTGAAGACGGTGTAGAAATTAATTAGATATTGAAGCAGCGAAGAAGGTCTGAATTTCTCACAAAAACTTATATAACAATTCTTGATCACTTTGAAAACGCCTTGTTTTAATATCTTGTATGCAAACCTTATAATATTATTATCGATCCAAGAAAATTTCTAAAATTAATTGCTTTATTCTGTTTTTGCCTTCCTTGTTTCTTCTGCCTGTTCTTTCTGTAGCCATCTAAGTTATTAGTCTTTTGTATTGATCCTAAGGGGCATGATAAATTAGAATCACCTTTCAAATCGCAGTACCACTCAAATGGCACTCTCTTTTTTTTTTCGGGATAATTTATGACACTATATGTGTTATTTGCTTTGGTGCGCTATCAGAAACTAAACCACAGTAATCCGAGTCCATCTAAAAACGCTAGTCTCTTGGGGGTATAGTAGAGAAAAATCTCTTTTATCCAAAGATGAAACAAAAATTCACGGCACACTGACTACGAGCGAATAAATATTAGTTAGGAACTGGAATCAAAATTCTGAGAAGCCGAGCAACACAAAATACATTAATCATATCTCAATTTGCATAAGCACATCCGTTTTACGATCAAAGAAGGCCTGGCGCTATCAGATATCGAGGGATTGTCTTGGAAATAAACCTCTGTAGAAGAATCGCTGTGAATTGGTAAAGAAAAAAATCCATGAAACTTTCATTTCATTGCATGAATATAATGTCATTGAAATTCTCACTGTAAAAAGATAAAAGTATCTCATACTTATCTACATGGCTATTAAATCGATATGCTTTGCATTCTCTGTTCTTTGTTGTTGTTGTGAGTTTTGTGAAGGTGCGTAGTTGTTTTTTAAAAGGTAAGTTTCCTCTCATGGGTAATCGGTTTACAGTCCTGTATAGCCTGCGGCAGAATAGCCACTATAAAACAATTTTCTTACCGTAAAGAAGTGCTGGAAGGGACGAATGAGATAGAATACCATGATTTACACTGCTTCTTGTTTGAAAAGATTACAAACACGAAAAAACAGAACAATAAATTTTCAATTTCACGTTCTATTGGTGCGGTTTAGTGAATTTGAACACCCCAGTACCCAAATCGTTGTTTACAAGACAAATCTGGGGAATACACCAAGGTCATTCCGACCTCCATAGGCACATCTACACTTTAAGTTCCAGGGATTCGTGTATTTATATGGTTATCATGTATAAGATTATAAACATAATTATTCTCGTTACAGAGCGGAAGCGAGGACGCCAAACCTATACCCGTTATCAAACACTGGAGTTAGAGAAAGAATTCCATTTCAACCGCTACCTGACTCGCCGGAGAAGGATCGAGATCGCTCATGCTCTCTGTTTAACAGAAAGACAGATTAAAATATGGTTTCAAAATCGTCGGATGAAGTGGAAGAAGGAGAATAAGGCGAAAATGGAAGCAGGTTTAGCGATGGGGCCTCCTCCACCACTAGAGCCCCTCCACTCTGTCGACCGGCCGCCGCAGTGAGCTCCTGAAATAAGGGGACAAGAAAGTAGCCTAACTGGGCGGGCGAATGTATCCGCCCGACATGTGTTTTTCTTCATTGTGGGTGGATTCATGTTTTGCGTGATGAACGATATATGTGAGTAGAATTGTACATATTGTAGTTATTGTGCCCATCGTTAACCTGTAGCTCAGCAGTAACTTTTTTTAAATTTTTTCTTCATTGTGCCGTCGCTTCCTGGCATTTCTTCTCCTGCTACATTTTTCATCACAACTTATACAGATATACCAATCTGTCAACAAAAACAAGAAAACAACGTGTAGTCCTGCGAAGGTGGCAAGTTCAGAACTAAACAGTTTTAAAGTAGACACTAATTGCATCAGTAATTGCATGTGTTTTAGTATATTTACTGTGAATGTTTAGGTCCATTGAAGTACATTCCTGGTAAAAACAGTTAGCTAGTAATCTGTTTAAGTAAGAATTTTAAGTAGAGTGTCAGTGATATACACTTTACCAAGAACGCAAAATAAAATACTGCATTTTATCTTTTATATCCCACGAATTCACTTTTTTTTTCTAATGCTTGAATGTTTTATCTGGATTTGATTTTATTAGTGCAAATATTCTTTTGTCGAAAGCTTTATCATCCTCTTCATTACTGTTACATTATTCTAAGCACCAATAAAGAGTCATTTTATTACGATCAAGATATTATATGCGTTGTACTGATGTGAGCAGTAAAAATACTGATTATTATACATCGTTCACATTCTTGAAACGATATCTAAGGCAGTTTTTCAGGCTCTGCCGGTCTATTACTGCGTAGCATGAGGAGTTGTATGGCACAAATAAAAGGCATTTTATGGCTTCTAAACCTCACGCTCCCTGACAGCTATGGCCCTAATGGTTATGCAAGTCGCGCTTTTCGGCAATAAACCGTCTACACTCAAATAAAACTGGTTGGGTTGTCCACATTCACGTTCGCAGTTAAACTACTGGCGGAATATTTCCAACTTCAAAATGTAACATAGAGAATGATCGGTTGATCCAGGAGGAATATAACTGGCAGTAAAGGTTCAGACTTATAGTGGCAGCTCGGTGTCTGAGGTGAAATTACCACTCCTATTATGATTCATCCTAACGACCCATAAACTTGGGATGTCCCGACGCTAATTTTGTTCGAGAGAGCTAAGTGACTCTCTGCCTATCCTCTTGCACCGAGCCAAGTGATGTAATACTATAAATCAGTCCTCAAGGTTTTAAAGGAGAAAAAGTGTACGGTGAAGATTTTTTAGTAAGCACATGGCCTGTTTTGGCTCAGTTTGCAGGAGACAGTTTGACGAGGCATATGTGCCGCCGCCATCTTCGATTTCTGTCTCTCAGTATCAACACAGTATATCCGCGTTATAAGTTTAACAAATGTTGCTTTATTGTTACGAATCTGTTTACATCAAACGAAGCTTTACAATGAAACATTGTTGTAAAGCAGCGCTTACCATGCAGTATTTAAATGACAACGATGTGCTTTTTCCTGTGTCATACTCCTTCGAAATGTGTATACAAGGCTGCAAAATCAGCCTTAACACTGTGCTTAAGATTATGCCTGATAGTGTTTTCGAGTTGTGTTGAAAATAATGCAATAACCTGTATAATATCCATCTTCGTGGAATGGTGTCTAATAAATCTGTGGCAAAATGATCTCAGCTCGAAGACCTTCATGGTGAGCTAAGGTTGGTTGTTTATATTTATATAAATAGATAGAAAAGGATACGTTTGCAGGTACATATGACTGTACAGGGTGTCGAATGTTTTAAATAAATTTTTGGTAATTTTTCTTGGTAAAAATTCTCATCTGTTTAATATTCCATTATTATTATTATATGTTCGATTATTATATTTTATCATTCTTCGGAACATAAGTTATACGTAAATTGAAAAGTAGTGTGTAGCATATTTAACTGTATTATGACAATACATTCTCTATGAAATGTACTTAAACCTTTATGACTGTTTCATCGGTCGAGTGCTCAAATCATACTTAAAAGCAGCCTAATATTTGCAATTGATGCATGAATATGTTTTAGAAAGTTGCATGTGCTGCGAAAAAGTAGGTTCGTGTGTTAGATTTAAAGAATAAAGCAAACAACTGCAGAATTAACGAAAAGCTTTTGATAAAAATACGTACTAATGTATAATAAAATGTAGCCATTTAAGTCTCTAATTAATATTAACAGTAACAGTTGTAAGCAATAGAATTTCTGTTTTGAAATAAGCAATACAGAGGTAAACACTTCGATCAATTTGATATATTTATCGAATAATACTGATTCCCTGTGCTTTTCTTCCTGTTTAGGAATGTTTATATGTTTAATTTGTAGCAATAAATATTAGGTAAATTTGTACAGAAACGAACATTTAGGGGAAAAAACATGTGTTGATGAATACTGATTTTACAAAATCTTGCTAGCAATGTCTATGAACAAATATCAATTTCATGTAAACTGGATATACCTGATTAATGGTTCATGTAGCACAACAATCGGTAATTTGCTCAAGATAACATAAGTCTCAAGCCAACATTTTATTTGTTTATTTTACAAAAGTCTCTAAAAATGACTAAATGTCACAACATACGAACACAGCTAATAAACATCAAGTATAAGAGTTCTGTTTGGCTGATTTATCATGAACTTGTGTGTGGTCCTAAGTCGTTCCTTAGTTTTCAAAAAACCTGGAATGGTCATCTTTTATGTTTTTGCATTAGGGGTGTGTGACATACAATGATTTATCTGATGCTAATAAGTACAGCTACTTGTATTGAGCTTATCTTAAAATATTAAGTTGTTTTTTTTTCTTAAGTGTACTAGCTTGAATTTGAAATTATTATACCTTCCCCCCTCCCTTTCATGCGGCCGAATATTTGCCACTGGCATTTTTAAAACTATGATTTGGTATGGGTAAGGCCACATTATCATCCCCTTTCACCTATATAGCCCTTAATCATAGTAAAGCGAACACAAAAACTACGAGAAATTTGCCAATATGGCGGACATCTTGCTTGAGGCACAACGTCCGAAGGAACTGTGCTAGCAATGTTTTAGCGTGACGTTCGTTCAGGGGAAGCGATACGTTCGTTCAAGGGAAGCGATTCTTTAAACGTGGACGAATAAAAACATGTTTAGATCTAAGAGAAATAATTGACTCTTATACAATTGTTTTTACTTGTACTTTTGTTGACTAGCATCATACGAAATTGTAAATTGAGTTTTGGTGAATTGTAAAGATTGTGCATATTAGCACATTCTATATGTATATATGTATGTACAACTCTGTATTTCTGCCAGCAGTAAATTTAGTTATTGGGCAGATTTGTTTTCTGATTCTTAAAAGAAATTTACGGACACTAGAACATTTTGTATAGTGTTTATCTTCTCTCTCTCTCTCTCGTTTTTTAGAAATGCTATAAAACGTTAAATATTTCACTTTTTTTAAATGTAACTTCAATACATTGATGGATTCAAAAGGTTATATTCAAAACGAATTTAAACTTTTACAAATATTTTTAGTAAGTGTTTGTGATCTGTTATTTACAACTTCAAGCAGTTTTACTGCAGTTATCGTTCAGACGAGTAGTCTCAGTTTGTTAGTGGGTGTGCTTATTGTGTAATGGTTTGTATATGTAGATCATGACAAAAAATATCACAACAGACTGTCCTGTGAGTACTTCTTGACGTATCGATGAGTACCGTATGTATTTTGTGTTCTCAGTCATGAATAAATACCATGTTTGTTGCCTATACACCTTTGTGTGTTTACAGGACCAATATTTTTCAAAACAAGTAACGACACACAAAAGCTATATAAATACACTTCTCTAGAAATAGATCATTTATTGTATCAAGATAATTTTCATAAAGTGTATTATACGTTTATTAAATACAATAAGACATGAACAACTGGGGATAATGATTCAGTTTTAATGAAATCAAAGTTAATGTACGTGTTGTTATCAAAGGTATTTTATAAATTATGTAACAAACTTTTAATGGGTTTCGAGCTAACTATTCGGCAAGAACAGAATATATGGTGTAAACTCTTCTAGATCTTAACGTGCATCACAGCTTAATATTTCTTAATGTTAGTAACCATTTTGTTTTTATTTATTCAAAGCATCATTCCCGCTGTGCTTCAGCTCAAACTTTATTTTAATTTAAAATGTTTACGAAAAATATACACATGTATGTACAGTGATTTAACTTGTTTTACGGTAAATAATGAATATATATATATATATATATTATTATTATTGCTTACGTTAGAAGTTATGTAAGGCTGGTTACATTTTTTGACCGAGAAATCATAGTTTTTGCATTATTTTATATGAGAGGAGATACACTACTGTAGAAAGTGACATTATGTTACAAAATAAGCTTTTCTCAACGAACACGATGAACTGTTTATCTGGAGTATATCCGCAGCCGCTGTTTATACTATGCAGCTAAAATGGCGCTTGTGGAGGGTGGAACTGATTCGGCCGCCGGACTCGACACTACTGGTTAGTTAATGGTTACTTGCGTTATGCATTACAAGGCTTACAAGGCGGAGATCTTCATATAGAGTGAGCAGAGAAGATTTTGTAAAGGTTAGTATTTATTTTCTTAACACAGGTCATTATTTTTACAAGTGGAAATTGATTTTGTGACCGGCCAACCGCAAAATTTTGGACTCGCTCTTATGCACGGCTTAAATATCAATATTTTAACAAACATCCATCCCAGAAGTCCATCACCTCCCGAACGTCTAAACATGATGTCTTAACACGTGTAACTGTGAGTTTTTCCCGCATCGCTTGTGCTGAGTGTAACTGACCCGTCTCTAGTCTTCCTCTCGGTCATACTTCTTTGAGCGAAATGGTTTCTCAGTAAAGACACCAAATTTAGGAGTGGAGTTTTTTTGCAAATGATGGAGATTTAAGTTGCTCCCTTATATTCAGTCGAAAAGTAATTTTCTTTTCTTTTTGTGCTCCAATCATCATCAGTATTCGTAGTATTTCCTGACGTAACAAATTAGCTTTGCCTAAACACAAGTTAAAATTTTGAAAAAGTGAATGATACAACCACCTGAAATATCGGTAGGTC